TCCCCAGCCCTATTTTTTGTATTTTATTAGAGATAAGGTCTCACTATGTTTCTTAATGCCTTGCTTTTGCTGAGGCTGGCTGTGGACTCGCAATCCTCCTGTCTCAGCCTCTCGAGCCACTGGGATTATAGGTGTGCAAATCTGTCAATAATAATCAACCCAATAATTAAGGCTTATACATTCTTTTTTTAAATTTTTTTTAAATTTTTAATATTTATTTATTTATTTTTTAGTTCTCGGCGGACACAACGTCTTTGTTGGTATGTGGTGCTGAGGATTGAACCCGGGCCGCACGCATGCCAGACCAGCTCGCTACGGCCTGAGCCACATTCCCAGCCCCAAGGCTTATACATTCTTGATGCTAAATGTTTGCTCTAATTTTACACATAGGACATTTTAAAAATAAAATAAAATACTTTTAAAAGTTCATGTGTACTAATGTCAAGTTGGTGGTATAAGAAATGAATGATAAGTACAGAGAACTGAGACATGAATTTGACAGACTTAAATGGTAAGAAAATTTGTCAAAAAAAGAATGGGATCTGAATTAGGTTTTGAAGGTTTCTAAGAGGAAGAAAAGAAAGAAAAAAAAGTTATGGTGCGTATTCAAGGAAGAGAGGGTCACACTAACTGACTGAAGCAGGTTTGTGTCACAAAATAATGGGAGATAAACCTTGAAGGGCAGCTTGGGATCAGGTCAAGTAGAGACTTGGCTAGTGGGCTCATGGGATTTGACTTCCTCCTGCAGGAATGAGAAATATTTAAAGGATTCTGAGATAGTGTCATTGCAAATGGTGTTTTTTAGAAAAGTGGTGTATCAAAGGAATCGGAGGAGCAAGGAGCAGTGATTTTGAAGGTCATAATGGTAATCATCTATAAGAGAAGGAGATTTTTAGAAAGGAAAGGGAAATAGGGTCATTCTAGAGTGAGGGTATTATCACCATGAATAACCATGTTTTCTGGGATTCTCACGAATTACCTCAAATAAGTGATTTTCTACATGGGTCAAGCTGGGCTATATTGTTAGCAAATATTGTTAAGGAACTAGTGTGTGTACTGTTCAGTACACTAAGCTGTGCAGAGTGATGATGATGATGAATGGGAATTTGTATTCCAGGTTCAAGGAGTTGTCAGCCTCAGTAAGGGGGTGGAGGGACTGAAATGTGCCAACTAACTAGAATAATGAAAAACATCATAAAATGAAGTGCAACATAATCCATGCTGCAAGGTTTCAGAAAAGAAAAATCACTCTAGGTTGAAGTATAAATATGGGAGATTTCACAGAAAAGGAAGCAGAGGGATATCGTGGGTCACTGAAATTCTGATGATCCAATGGACATTTTGTTCAGTTCTCCCTGAGCCTCCTTGGTTCCACATTAGCTCCTCCATCAATCTCAGAAAATCCTCTCTACCCCTTTCTTGCTCCTCCTTCCCTTAGTTAGACACAACAACAGAAACTCCCAAGAAACAGTTTCACTTGTCCTGCATCAACCTGGAATCTTTCTGTGCAGGATCAACTTGCCAAAGGATCAGGTACAGGTGGATATCTCATGGATGAAAATGGGGGAAAGAAAGGATAGATGGGGAGATGGCACTGTGTGTGATTTTCTGCATGTGTGTTTAGTGTTGATTTTTTTTTTTCAAGTAACTGCCATGTGCCATGCAGCGGGGCTATAGGAGATAGTGAGGAATGTGTTGGATGAGATGATTGGTCCCCACTATGGAGACAGTAGACCTCATAATGGTGTAAAAAAGGGAAAAGGAAGAGAAATGAATCGTTTGTTCCAATACTTTAAGCCTATCACCATAATGATTCTCTTTCTTTCTTTTAATAGGTAAAGTGAAGTTATATGAGGTAGAGTGAATTGTTTTTAAGTGGATAATCAGGGATTTGAACCTGGGTTTTAAGACCACATAACTGATTGTCTTTTCATTATATCATGCTTCCATTAACATATGGAGGAGTCTTACATATAGAGGTCATTATGGGGAATATTTATTATAAGGATAAAAAACCATCTCCTTAATATTCTCCTTGATTTTATCTTTTATCTTTTTATCATTACTGCAGAAGAGATTACATTAGATCTGAGATGGAGACCTTCTCTCTGCTGTTGCTTGGTCTGGGGTTGGTTCTTGCAGGAACTTCAGAAAGCATAACGGAGATCATTAAAGAAGAATTTTCAGAGGAAGAGGTGCAATATGACATGGTAAAAAGTGGCCAAGAGAAACAGACCATTGAGGTATTAGTGAACTTGACCCTGTTAGATAAAAATACCAGCTTCAGCATGTCCAAAGATGTTTTTCCTTCCTCACCACTGACATTCAGAAAGTTATGTCATAGTGTTCCCAAGGGAAACAGGCCAGGTAATGACAAAGAGAGTGACAATAATATGACCGACTGGAGAAAAGTTTTAGAAGCTAATGGGTCATGCAAAATGAGCAATATTTTCATTCATGGCTCCATGGAAGTGATCCACGGGGTCCACAAGTCCCCCAGCTGCACATGTGGACAGAGTCCTGGCATGAGCTGCTGTGAGAGCACAGAACTGGAGAACACTATGTACCAGCTCACTACACGCAAACAACACCACCGGTGCCAATACCACAGTGTTACTTCATTGAAGAAGATGTTGATAGTGCTGACAGGTCATTCTCTGATGAGCTGGTTAGTTAGTGGCTCTAAATTGTAAATCTGACAAGGCTTTGGGACTAGGGTCCATGTAAAGGACATATTCGTGCTCATTATTGTTTCTTTCCTTCTGTTATTCATATCTACCCCCTTAACACTATAGGAAACTCAATTGTTGATACTATCTGGATCAGTGAAAAGTTCAAAACTGGATAATGAAATTTAATTTATAACTGATCCTGGAGTTAAAATTCTGTCTCTCACATACACATATACTCCCTACCCCACCCCTCTACACATACATATGCTCTTTCTTTGAACCAAACAGAATTCTGTTCTAGCTAAGCTATAAAGCCAAAAACCAGTCTTCCCCAATTAGGCAATTTAAGGAGAGAGCTCTGAAACAATATGGGTAATTAGAAGTTAATTGTATTGCCAATGAGACTCTTCAGAAAAATTAGTGAACGATTATGGGAAATATTATTGCCCCTCAAAGAAGTGTGTGCATTGATGTGTGCAGAGAGGTGAGCACCCACCTCATAACCCAAGGGATGGCAGAGGGGAAAGACCCTTTGCCTTTAGCTGCTGCTCACAGTGTCAACAGCTCCAATACTACTCAGTCTCTATTCCTTGGCCCTCTTCCTTATCTAATAGGTTGCAATAAAGAGAAGTAATAAAGCTTTTATTGCATTTTTGTTTTTTTCTCAAGCAAATTCTTGCTATTCTTGGGCCATGGGAAAGGAGTGGAAAGCCATGAGGAATACAGAAAGATGGGAATAGAATGTCTCTGCTGAGTTCCAGACAGATGGGTTCTTGTTTGATGTTTTATAATACTGTAGTGAATCTTCATGGTTCACCGCTCTGCTTGAAGCATAGCAGGTATCTTGTTCTTTGGTGTTTGCATGGATGCTCCTGTTTTTAACTCATACACCCTCTCTCTATTTTGAGACCACTCTTTTTTAATGTTCTAATTTAAAATAAATGCATGTAAATGAATGCTATGTCACTGTAACATTTTTCTTGTTGTACATAACTCTTTATGTCAATTTTCCCAATGTTTTTCACATTTGGTACAGAATTCTCATTTTACTCGAATTGCAAAACTCGGACAATCACATTTTTTGCCTTTTTGCTGAGCTTTTCTTGTCAGTGTGGTGGTTGCTTAAATCAATATTCACTGTGGGTTTGGTCAAACAGGTATGTAATAAGCACTCAATTTGAACTCAGCAGCTGGAGGACAGCATCTTAAGAGCAATGCCTGACTCCCAAAGGCCTCTCCTCTGTAAGAAAACCTGGGACACAGGAAGGGAGATATACTTAACTGAGTCCATTGCAGGGATAGTTCCATGTAGCGAGTCTGATACTACCACTCATTCAACAAGTGGAAGGGTAGGTTGTATCCACAGTACAGTGGTCCAAGCAGGCTTGATTCAAATTTAGTTCCCATTTCAGTAACTTCTTTCCAACAGCATGTCTTCTGGCTCTGGATAAGGAACATGTCAGCGCCAGAGACAATAACTATTTAAACTCTGGGACAGGTTTTTTTTTTTGTTTTTTAATGTGTAAGTAAAAAACCTAGTTTGTTCAAAATTCAGTACATATTTCTTCCCTCACCAGAAAGAGGAGTAGAGATCCAGAACAGATACTTCTCTCCAGGCCAGGGGCATCCTTCAGAGAGGCTTAGTTAAGACCCACCTTCTACTTCTCTGAAGGAATCAGGAGTTCTGCCTTCCATTTCTTGGGTACCCTGATCTCCCAGGTTTTTAGCTCATCGTCATACTATTAGGATGTCTGAAATGTACAGAACTTGAAGGTGCTGTAGAGAGCTAGCACTTTCAACCTTCAAAGCACATGTCATAACGTGCAACCTAGAGTCCTCCATGAGGCAACTGGCCTACGATTTTAGATTTTTCAATGTTACATTTTTATAATGTCCCATTTCTGCTTCCAAACAAGAGAGAGCTCCTTTGTTCTTAAAGCTTCATACTTAAGTCCCTCAGTCGAACTTTAAAGCCTATAATGCTCTGTCTCGGCAACCTGTCTCTGGGTTTTGAGGCTGCCGTCCTCATTGCAAAACTTGTGCCTCTATCTTTTCACCCTTCCTTTCCCTTTACTCACTCATCTTAGTCCACATTGGGCTAGCCTCTTTAGTGATTTTTTCCTCAATTGCACAAGGAGCATCCAACCAGTAATTGTCCAAGTATTCTTTTCACTTATTAAAAAAATAACATAGACACATTATACCCTATAGATGAAAGGAAAAGTTAGAGGGGAAATGAGACAATAAAGAGAGAGAATCAATTGTAAAAATGGTCTGGAAGGAAGAGTTGGATAGAGAAATGAGGCTGAGCCGTGCTGACAGGTTATTCAGCATATGAAAATTCCCTTATTGTCTCTAATCCTTCCCTCTATTTTCCCAGCATAAAGTGTACTAAATTTCTTTCAAGTGACAATTCTGAAATGAAATCAAGCACTTGGCCTCAAGCACCCAAGATGATATTGAAGGAAGGAAAGTCCTTTACCACCACAGATAAACCCTCATGTAGTTTGGGGGAGGGGGCTCACCCCTAAATGATATATCCTCACTGGGATTCATTTTCCTTACCTACATCTGGGTTCTTAGACTTTGGTATGAGTCAGGATCACCGCAGCAGAGTTCTCACATTTTTATCCAAATCGACCCTCCTTCTTCTCAAGACACAGAGGTACAATGAGGCTGCAGGCTTCCAGCCACACTTCCTTTCCCAGGCTCTCTGAGCAAAAGTGATGTCTTCCAAGTTCAGGTCTTACCACACTGGACTAGCCTCTCCTGTGATTGTTCTCTCAATAGCTCCATCCCTAATGGATGTGTGTGTGTTCCCGTCTTCAATTGTGCCATTGCTGATAAAGTCCTAGGAACAGACTAGAAAGCAAAATGGAAGCCTCATCCCTGAGTAACTACACTAAGCAGAGTTATTTTGTAAGTCGGTACTGCTCATGTTTGGGCTGTTATATGAGAGGAAAAATAAACATTTTTATTTTTAAATGCACTATACTCTAAGATTTTGTTTCATGAGCTTGCCCTTACCCTAACAAATTTAATAGCTTTAGGAGGCCCAATCCCTGGGCCATAATTCCAGAGATTTGTATTCCAGGGATCAGAGGCAGGACTGTAGCATGTAGTTCCCTCAGAAAGATGTTAGGTTTGCTGATGGACTATAAACTTTGAACCCCACTGACTAGATGAACTAAAAGCTTTCTAATCATAAAATATTTTGACTTTAGTCCTAAGGAGAGAAAAGAGGTTGCTATCTAAGTACTCAGAGCCTTTGAGGACAGCACTAAGGCCAAAAAAATCAAATTAAATCAGAGTGTCCACCTCCTACACAACCTCCCCAAATAGCAAAGCATTCTTTTTATTCTGAAAGTCCCCAGCCATACATAAATCTGGAAGAAAACCAAAGTAACTCATTTTTCCACCACAGTGGCTGAGAAGCTGGAAGAGATATCATACTCATGAAATACACCCTTTTTATTCCTCTGACCAAAAAACTGGTAGGTTTGGAATAAGACAATTTTTAAAACCTTAATCCTGCCAGCTGGTGGCTTTTACCTGTAATTCTGTTGACTTGGGTGACAGAGGCATGAGGATCACAAATTTGAGGTCAGTCTGGGAAATTTAGTGAGAACCTGTCTCAAAATTTAAAAAATAAATAAATAAAAAGAACTGAAGATGTAGCTTAAAGGTAGAGCACCCTGGATTCAACCCCAGTACCACCTAAAAAATAAAAAATAAAAAAATTCCTCAATCCTTCTTGTTTGTAAAGTTTGCTAAAGTTTCTCAAAATCTCACACAACAATTATCATGGGGCTGTACATTAGCAATAACCAAACAATTATAATAACAAAATTTGAGGTCTTGTGATGTGCTAGGCATGGGCCTAAGATGCACATATTCTTTTTATTCTCAGAACAACCCCCCACAAGTAGATACTATTATTATTATTCCCATTTTATTGGTGAAGGAATAGGAGTACAGACCTTACGCAATGTACAAAATCACACATATAATAAGCGGTCCCTTGGGAGCAAACAAAGACAGTCCAATTCCATAGGCTACAGTTTTAGTCACTCATCTTTATTCGATAGAAAAAAAGCAAACTTGCTCAAACAATACAGAAAGAATTTTGGAATTCTCTGGAACAAATTCTACCTTACTACAATATTTTGAGGGTTAAATGACAGTTATTATTATTATTTTTATTATGACTAGTCAGGGCACTGAGCTAAATACATAAGTGAAAAATGATTTCTAGTGAATTTGTCTACCAAAGAGTTGATGTCTTTAATGTATAAAGAGGTCTTTCAGTTTAATTAAGAGAAAGATGAACACACCTACAGAAAAATAAATGAGGGTCGCAAACAGAAAATTAACCAGAGAAGAAATAGTCATTTAACATTTGAAAAATGTTTTTCTTTCTATTAAATGTAATATAAGTAAAAACAATGTGCTATTATTTTTGATCCTGCCCAGTCTGCAGGTAAAAAAAAAATAATAATAAGCATAGTTCTGGCACAGGTATAGGAAAGGAGACCTTTTCATGCTCTCCTCCTGGTAAAACAAACGGCTCCATTTGCTCTTTCTGTACAGCAACTAGAGCTAAGCAACTGAAGCAAGGACCTCTGCATACCTGGCTGCTGACAGGTTGTCACAGGAACTTCATGTTCTCTGTGAGTGTGGGCTGAGCTCTCTGACCTAAAAATGCCCCTTCTGAAGTGCTCCTGGGTACAGGAAGCCTGGGCCTCTTAAGAGAAAGAGTGTGGGGTGGGGGCAAGGCTGGGATGGTCCCTGGAACAAGTCACAAACAACATGACCACTCTGCCTTCTTTCCCCTTGTCTCCTTCTCCCCACTCCTCAGACAACTTCCAGATTCTCTCCCTATGAATAGATTGTGCCCTCAATTAATGTCTCCAGTTTGTACACTGCCACGGTGGCCTCTGTATTCTATTTTCCTTTAAGCATTGTACCATTCAACTTTGTGGGTTTTTTCCCCCCGTGTGGCTTCCTTTCATGCCTTATTACGGTGCAGCAAGATAGTGTCTATGAACTTCATTTAATGTGTGTCAAATTACACTGATTTAATTTGTACTGTTTGAAAATCTGTTCAGACATTTTTTTAAAAATGTAGTTTTATTCCTCATGTCAGAAAGTCACCTGCCAATAAATTTAAAAAGTTGAAAGGCATACTCAATAGGCCTTGAGTGGTTAATTAAGTCATTAGACCTAGTGGAGAGAAACAAGATT